CATGCATTAGTACCATTTCCAGTCTACTCTGTTTTGTATGAGGTGATAGTTAGGATAAGTAATAATGCAAGTTTCTTCATGCCGCTTGTCCAGTGTGAGTCTCAGGCTTCTCGTATTTTTATCTGTTAATGACTGGAGAATAAGCAGTATTGACTCAGTAGACAATGAAGTATATCTCAGATCCAGTTCAACTAGTGATGAGTTACTGAGGAGGAGGTGAGAAAGGGTCTGTCCACTATTTGAAGTAATGAGGGGATTATCATAAAGATATAATGAGGTAAGTGTAGAGTTGTGTTCAAGTGCTTGACAGATATAAATAACTCCTCTATCACTAATGGAGTGATCATTAATGCTTAGCTCTTGTATTGTTTCATTATTAGTTAGTAGTATGCATAAGTACTGGATACAATCATTAGTTAATGGAGTAGAGCAAATATTAAGACTCCTCAGGTTTATTGTATACAGTTTAGTTGATGATAGTAAAGATACTGTACTATTAGTAGATGAGGACTCAAGTTTAATCCTGTTATGATTATTATTGATATTTCTAATCCCTTCATTACACTGAACTAAAGATGGAGAGGTAAAAGATACACTGTCATTGCCCCAGTCTACTTTCCCATCAGTGATACCTAATATAAATTAAAATTTATACTTAAGGCAAATTCATTATCACGTGTATAATACAAACTCACACAGCTTGCAAAACAAAATGCACAACTGACTGTATGTGAATTAAGTGTGTGTTAGTCATTTAGTGTATAATGAATCAAAATAGAAAAATTAATTTTGTACTATGTATGCTGACACCATACAAATAATGTATGTACAATAAATGCTCATTTTTACCTTTACAATCATGTTGTTCTTTGTCTTGTCTTAATGCAGATATCATAATAGGATCATCATTAATAGTCTCCAAGAAAAGAGAAGCTTTCTCATCATTACTGGATGAATCATTCCTTATCTTCTGTAGAATAGGAAGGAAGACTTTTTCCACTGACAGTACAAACTCTAACAATTGAAGTGATTCCAACATTGAGTAAACACAACTACTAGGAATGTCTCCTTCATAACCAGACACTAGCGATCTTCCATTCCATCGAAAAGTATCCCACTTCTCAATGATGTCCATCTGGTCTTCTTGACTGAACGATATTTGATCACTGTATAATGCATGATAGTCAATACTGCTGTGTAAATAGCTTCAGCTTTTGGAGATTGTGTACACTGATCCTTTTCTATATAATATATCAATCAGTTAATAATTTAACAAATCGCATACTGTCAATGTTTGCCTTTTGGCTCATCAGCAGCTGTACACTAATTATTGATATATTTTCTTGGAGTAACTCAATCTCTTTCTTATACTCCAGTAATGCATCCTCTTTTCCAGTGCCTGCCATCACTGTTTCTACCCGATTTGAATGAGGTAGTATTGTCTTAAAGTCTTATCCATACCTGCTTTCGTTAAGAGAGAGGTTCTGAAATACTGAATGTCTGACTTCTTTGATTTGAATATTTCATTAGTAGCCATTTGTAACCATACTCTTTCCATCTTCAGTTTATACTCTACAATAACAACTCAATGAGAATTACAATTTATCAAAACGATCATCAATGCTTTAGCTATGGTACTTTACCTGGAGTCTGTAGTATCCTTTCAATATACTCTATACAAGTAATATTACATTAATAAAATAATTATGTTCATCATTCACTACCTATACCTTTTCTTTTTTTGATGACATCCAGTTGTTTATCTCGTTCAGATATTGATCCTATATACCATTAGTATCAATAGAGTAATTGAGTAATAGATCGAGTCACACACCTTCTTTGTAATCAAGTAAAGTCTTTAGTTCTTGTTCCTCTCCATCAGCTAGTTTAATCTCCTCTGCATGACACTCATTCATTATCTATAATTGGCACATAAATATTATGCAAGGCGAAATACAATTGCAGTATCTCATACTTTGTATCTGATCCTTCTATCATAGACAGTGTAGTGGCCAATGGTTAGTCTAATTAAACTGAAATCCTTCAACAAGACAGCTAGGTTGTCTTGTGCTTCTAAGAGAAGAGCAGCTAGCATATGATGTGGAGCATGACAAATGATAATGATGGAGTTCCCACGATGAATGGTTCGTACAATAATCCTCTTGCCCAAGTCTTCAAATGCTTTCTCTAAGAGACATCTAATATCATCAAGTGTATGTTCATCAGGTTCCCATTCCAGTACAAACTCTACTCTTTCGCAAGTGAGTGAGCTGACAGCTAGTGACAATTTCTTGTTGAGCATGAACTTGACCTTTATCTTTGAACAGAAATCATTGACTGCTTCATCAAACTCGGTGATAATCTTGATGGCACCAGTTATGTTATATTTATTAACAATAGCTTTTATTGGTACTATATTGATGATATTACATCTGCTATCAATAATATTCATAACTTCTTCAACTGAATCCACGGATAATAATGCTTCCTTTACTTCAGGAAAGCAACGTGAG